TCCAGCTGGGCAGAAGCCACCTTCAGGGAAAGCCTCAGCTGGGAAGCTGGCTGGGGCATTTGTGGAACTCACAGAAAATTGCCTCTGGGGCTGATTTTGAACTTGGGGCATCCTTGGAACTCATAGGAAGTTGTCTCTGGGGCTGATGTTGAGCTCACTGGCTGTCCACCGAATGACTGAGCTCCACTGCGATAAGGAAAGAGGCCACACCCCTTCCCCTGCAGTGTGCCCTCTACTGACAAAGCTTAACCCAGAGCTAGCTGTCAAAGGAGAACAGTCAAGAGGGTCCAGAGCTGGGTCCCAGGCAGTGCACTTAAGGGTGGATTTGGAGCAGAGAAGTAACACATTGATAACTGGCACAGGGACAAAATGTTAATGGCTGTGAATCTGGGTGAAAGGATACGTATGGGAGTTCTTTCTACTATTCTTGAACTCTTCTGTATGTTTGAAATTACTCCTAAATTAAAGAACTTAAATAAAAGAATGCCATTCGCTGAAACTGGCCAAAATAAGACTTTGGGGAGGATGATTTCTTGATTTTAAAAACTGCATTGGACTCTAGAAGAGAATTTGATTTTGGTCTTTGATTCTTTGGGACTTTAAAAAATTTTGATTTCTTTTAATTTTTAAAAGGTTAGGAAGTAACGGAAGGAACCAAACTTGGGTCTGCTCACCCATGCACAGTAAAGCCAACCTACTGACACCGAGTTGTGGTGAAGGAAAGTGCAGAATTCATTGCAGGCACCAAGCAAGGAGTCTGGGCAGCTAGTGCTCAAAAGACCCGAACTCCCCGATGGGTTTCAGGGGCAGGTTTTTAAAGACAAGGTGAGGGAGGTGGGTGGTGCGGTGTGTGATCAGCTCGTGGATATTCTTCTGATTGGTGGGTGGTGAAGTAATCAGGAGTCAACATCATCAACCATCTGGTTCTAACTGGTCTGGGGTCTGCATGCTTGTGGGTAGCATGCAGTTAACATCTCCCACCTGATGGGGGCTTCAGTATCTGCAAAACAGCTCAAAGGCTCAGAGTATTATCTATAGCCCTTGAGGAGGAACAAAATGTTCTTGACTTCGTTTAATGGCTAAAGTATTATTATTTTGTCTTGCTTGACTGTTTTCCTTTCTTTCCACATTTTCTCACTTCTATGATTAATTTATTCTCTGGAGCTTTGGGAAGGCTTAGGAGGCTAAAGTTTTTCTACAGACAAGAGGCAGCCAGAGGACACTGTGGGGTGTAGGCGGAGTGTATCAAGGATGTCTGGTAGCCGATTGCTCCCTCTCACCAGGGCATGTGATTGCGTGTGTCTTCCTCCTCTTACTAAACTGTAGATTACACCTCAGAGCTAATAGGTTTCTCAGAACTCCTGACTGACGGTGATGGAGGGCCTTGTACCACCTCAGGGGCACTCATGAAGAACCCCACTTAACCCAGAAGAGAGAGGAAGACAGTGGTGGGTGTGGGGTTGCCCTGAGTAACACGGGGAGTTGATGGGCTTCTCTTGGCCAGGAGGGCAAAGACTTAACTAGTGGGGAGATGAAATGAGGGGCAAGTGTTTGTTCCCCAGAATTCCAGGTGATATAGAACAGCATGTGCTTCCAGGAAATAGATCCTGATAGGGAAGCAGCTGGGCGCTGAAGGCGTTTCAGGGAGGAAGAGAGCAGAGGAGCTGCTTGGGCTGTGAGGCAGGAATTATGGGCCAGAGAGAGGGGGCAAGAGGAAAGTCTTTTTTCCAGAAGCTTCTGCCCCTGTGGAAGAATCTGGGAACCAGAGAAGCAGGTGACGAGGGAAAGCTGAGCCTCTCCCAACCCCTCTGGTGCTGGCTCAGAGCATTAGTAGGGATCCTTCAATTTTCTGTCAAGGGTATTTTCTCCCAGATTGCTGTGAGCCTGGTGCTGCAAATCTGCACCCAGATGGAGTCCTGGATTTTATTCAGGCTACACTTATTTTGTGGCTGAAGAAACCAAAACTCAGAAATGGGACCCCAGGCAAATAAGTGTCAGAGATGAGTCTTGAGTTTCCATTCTGACTCCTTCTTTTCTTTTTTTCTTCGAAAATTTCCACAAAACCCCAAGCTTCATGACTACGTATTTTGTGCAGGTATTATTTTTTTTTATTTGTTAATTTTAAAAGAATATTTATTTATTTATTTGGCTGCATTGGATCTTCATTGCGGCATGCGGGATCTTTCACTGTGGCGAGTGGGCTCTTTGTTGAGGCGTGCAGGCTTCTCTAGTTGTGGCACGTGGGCTCCAGAGCCCACGGGCTCAGTAGTTGCAGTGTGCAGGCTTAGTTGCCCCATGGCATGTGGGATCTTAGTTCCCTGACCAGGGATCAAACCTGCGTCCCCTGCATTGGAAGGCAGATTCTTAACCACTGGATCACCAGGGAAGTCCCTGTGCAAGTATTATTATTAACAATGTTTATTCAGAAGTTTAAGGATGCTCATGCACACTAAGAGAACAATATTAAATGGGGCGAAAGCTGTTTACTTACTGTTATGCTCATGAAAATATTATAACAGCAACAAAAGCAGGAACCACACGGCCTGGGATGACTACTTAAAACCCCTAGATCATAAGAGAGTTCCCATAGCCCATCCTAGAAACCAGCACCAGCAAAGGCACATGACCCAGTCCTGACCAGTCAGAGTGGGTCCCTGGATTTTTGCCCCTCCCCTTTCCATGTGGGAGTGCCCCAGCTGGCAGCAGGCACACCTGGAGGTGCTGAGGCCACGGTGCCTGAATGTGGCAGAAGCCTGTCTGAGAAATGGAAAGACAGATGCTTGATGACATCATTTTTATCCTCTGGGTCCACACACACCTGAAGCCCACTGTTCCCCTAAGCTTTTTAAGTACATGAGCCAATAAATTCCTTTCTTTTTCATATGCCAGTTTGAATTGGTTAAGTCATCACTTAACAAAGTGATGACTAATATATGTCTAATTAAAGCGTTGTAGGTACAGTCAAGAGAATATTTTGCAACATGGAAAAGCAATGTCTATAAAAACTCTGTGAAACATGGAAGGGTAGAAAATATTGCTAAATGAAAACAACAGAATGGAAAGTTATAGATCTGTAGGCAAATGAGGGAGTTGAGAATGCAAGAGAAAGAAAACTCAGTGAGTTACAGAAAAAAATCTACTCTGCAGCCTTGAGAGAGGGTCCCCAGCAGGCAGTAATGCCCAAAGCAAGAAAAGCACAGGAAGAAAATTCTCCACCAAAATACCAGCACCCTCTCACTGTCGTGGCCTCTCCCGTTGCGGAGCACGGGCTCCGGTCGTGCAGGCTCAGAGGCCACGGCTCACGGGCCCAGCCGCTCCGCGGCACGTGGATTCTTCCCGGACCGGGGCATGAACCCGTGTCCCCCACATCGGCAGGCGGACTCTCAACCACTGCGCCACCAGGGAAGCCCCTTTCCCCCTATTCTTTACTTTCCTGAATTTTAAAAAGTTGTATTAAATGTCCATACACTACTTTTAAAATAGCAGCTGGAACATAGAAAAGAAAAAAATAAGTGTAAGATGGGTGAACGGGGAAGCCAGGAGAGTTCTTACAGGTTCCCGTGTCTTGAGGAGCCCAAGAACTTCTGTTGTGGGGAGGATGGAGGGGCTCCATCCTGATGGGAATCAGGCTGAGCAGGTTGCGGTGACATCATTTTATGTGCAAACCCAGGACCTTCTCCAGCGATTACTGCCCAGCTCGGGGAGAGGGAGGACAGAGGGCCAACACAAGCTGAGTTGATACAAAAGACAGAACGCAACATACCCTTCATTCCCGGAGCCCTTCTGTCTGGTCTCAGCACTTTATACAGAGCCTGGGGTCAAATAATACACGTTTCACATGGGTTGACTCTGCATGCGAGGGAGGGAGCAGGGGCGCTGAAGGAGTCCAGGAAATGAGTTACACACATGAAGGAGGGAGGGATGGGACAGGCTGACCTCCCTTAACTTACAGTGTGACACTCACCGCTGACAGTGCCCTCAACACCCTCGTAGACCTGTCAGCTGCTGAGTCTCCAGGCATTGCCTCTGCCAACCTTGCCCCACCACCGCCGTGGTCCCCTTTTCTTCCACTCAGAGACCCCTGGGCTCAATTGTCTTCATCCTCTCCTGTCCCCTGGGATCCTGCTTTCCCACGCCTGGCTGGTGGCAGAGGTACAGTCCCCATGGTTCCTTCCGAAGACGAGCTCACAGGCTTTTTTTCTTGGGAGAGTTTCTGGAAAACACACACACACACACACACACACACACACCCCAATCAAAGGAAAGCTACAGAAGCCTCCCATGCAGCATGGCATGGAGATCCAGGCCCGGGCTCAGAAGTCTGGCTCCCTGGCTGTCATCCTGACGCTCCCTCCACGTAGCTGCAAGCATTTGGCAAGTTACATAAGCTCGCTTATGAACACCACAGTCTGGGGATGAAACAGCAAAAATGTATTTTCTCATAGTTCTGGAGGCTACAAGCCTCAGATCCAGGTGCTGGCCAGTTGAGTTCCCGGTGAGGACTCTCCCTGGCTTGCAGACGGCTACCTTCTTGCTTTGTCCTCACAGGGCCTTTCCTCTGTGCCGGTGCAGGCAGAGAAAGAGAGAGCCCTCTGTGTTTCCTCCTCCTCTTATAAGGACACCAGTCCCCTAGGATTATGGCCCCACCCCTACAAACTCATTCAACCCAAATCACCTCCCCAAACCCCCATCTCCAAAAAGTCACCTTGGGGCTTAGGGCTTCTACATATAAATGTTAGGGGGACACCTTTCGGTCCATAACACTCCCTGTGGCTCAGTGTCCTGTTCTGTACAACTGGGAAGACCCTCTGCCCAGCACATGGACCTCAAGGAGCACCGAGGGAGAGACAGAGGCATGACCAGGTCTCTCCAGGACTGGTGCCACTGTCTCCAAGATGAACATGATACCATTTGGACCTTCAGGGCCACCAGACACCCCATGTCCTTGGGAACATCCATGCAAACTCCACACACACACACTGGCTTCCTCATCACCCTTCTCATAAACCCTGGCGCCCATAAGCCCCAGTTAAAGCTTCCCCCTCCTCCAGCCCCACCCACGAGGGAAACCACAGCCTCACCTTCTGCTGCAGGCTCTCATAGCACTGGGTGAATTCTGTCAGCTTCTTTTCCAGCTCCCAAGCCTGCGCCCTTAGCTCTTCTGCAAGCTCTGATTTTGTTCCCTCCTTCAGCTGTTTCCAGTCCTTCAGGAGGGAGGCCAAGACCACGCTGAGGGAGAAGCCAGCCATTGCAGTACCCAGCAAGCGAGCCTTTGTTTTCATCACCAGTGTGGTACCTTCAAAAGCCCTTTGCACCTGCCTGCTCCTTCGGGATGAGACTTGGCCAGTGGTCAGGAGACTCTTGGCAGCAGTGGCCAGGCGCGGGTTGGCCCTGGCTATCTGAAAGGCACGGATGCTCCTCTGGATATCCTTGACGGTGCTTTCACAATTCTGGACCACCTTTCCGGCAGCCACGACATAGGCTGCCCCAGCTCTCCTGACCTCTTGGCCACGGGTGGGCACTAGGCTACCGACATAAGCTTGGGCTTCTTGACTGTGAAAGCGTTCCAAAACGTTGGTCAAGATGCTGGTGACCTCCCCTGCTTTCCCCAAAACTCTACCAGCAGCGGAGAGTATCAGGCTTCCTCCTGCTACTGCCGGAGCGAGGACCAAGCCCAGGATGCTCATGACTTCTGAAACCACAGCGATGGAATTGGCCACCATGCTGGTCTTGGTAAGTGTTCTGTGGGTTGTGTCGACGTGGTCTGCAAGGGTATGGAGCTTTCTGATGCCCACTTCCAGCTCCCCTTTCAAGATGGGAAACTCTTCCAAAAATATTCTTTCTTCAGCTGACAGGTCACTATCTTGCCACTCCACATCTTCATATGGAAGAATGTCATCTTCGTCCCTGTGGATGAGTGAAATAAAGATGTTCAGTCTCCCAGACGGGAAAGCCAAATTTGTAGTCAAGCCCATGTGGTTTCTAGATGTTCTTGCCCCTCCAGACTTTCAATCCTCCCTGCATCTTCCTAGCATCTCTGTTACCTCTAACTCAACTGTGAAAAGTCCCAGAGCATTGCTGGGAGCTGCTGGTTCCCTGAAGAGAGCACATAAGAGGGGTATCTGGAGGGAAATGGGAGAAACGTAGCCCTGGCCAAGAGATGGAAGAGGTGGATTAGTGTTGAGGGACTTTTTCAAATGCAGGCTTTTTCAAAGCCCTGCTTTTTAATCTCTCTTCACACACACACACACACACACACACACACACACACACACACACCCCACACATACACACAGTTCCTCAATGGAAAAGGTTAGAAACCAAATATAATACCAAGGAAGCCTTTAGTGTTAATGAAGTAATTAATTTAGGCCCAGTTGTCAGTTAACGAGTAGCTGTAAATCAGTTGACAGAGCAAAAAGTACCCTGGGACTTGCAGTGGGGATGGGGCGGATTGGCAGCAGGGAGGGTAACCCTGCTGAGAGACCCCCAGCGTCACAGATGCCACCATGCAGCCCACCCTGATCTCTCTGATTCCTCAGGTTTGCAGGGACGAAGAGAAACAACAGAGAGATTTGTACCTGCAAAGATCGACAGTGCGGGGGGAAAGCGGGGTGGTGGTGGTGGGATGAACAGGGAGATTGGGATTGACATATATACACTAATATGTATAAAAGAGATAACTAATAAGAACCTGCTGTAAACAAATAAAATAAAATAAAATTCCAAAGGAAAAAAAAAAGATCAATAACACCACTTTGGGGCTTCCCTGGTGGCACAGTGGTTGAGAGTCTGCCTGCTGATGCAGGGGACACGGGTTCGTGCCCCGGTCCGGGGAGATCCCACATGCCGCGGAGCGGCTGGGCCCGTGAGCCATGGCCGCTGAGCCTGCGCGTCCGCAACGGGAGAGGCCACAACAGTGAGAGGCCTGCGTCACGCAAATAAATAAATAAATAAATAAATAAATAAATAAATAAATAACGCCACTTTGCATTCACTGTGAAGTTTTGTCTTTCACGTGGTTGGTAGCTAACAGGAGCTTGGCTTCATGTGTGTGTGTGTGTGTGTGTGTGTGTGTGTGTGTGTGTGTGTGTGTGTGTTTTGTGGGATCTTAGTTCCCCAACCAGGGATCAAACTCAGGGCCTCAGCAGTGAGAGCACCGAGTCCTAACCACTGGATCGCCAGGGAATTCCCTTCTTGTGTTTTTAAATTAAACTAAATGCATCCCGCATTAGGCAATGATGCCTCCTGACACAGTGAAAATTGCAATCGAGTTCTGTGACACCTAATTCCCTCAGCAGACATTTGTTGATTGTCCATATTGGGCTGGTGATGCTGTATCTGCTGATGAATGGACACTTGGGCTTAAATTCATGAATGCAGTAACACTAAAGGGCCTTTTTGGTGATACATGAACCTCACAGAGGTGAGGCCCGAAGGGGCAATTTCTGGTCTCAGAGTCCTATTACCCAATGTCATGCACCCGACAAGAACTTGACTTGTGCTCCGAAATATTTAAAGTGGAATATTTTTTCCCCTGGGAGACATATACACTTAACGGAGACCAGTTGGAGGGCAGGGCATACTTTATGGCTGATGTTCTTGGAACACGTTTGTCGCGTGTCATGAGGATGCCTAAACATTTCTGCCAAAGTAGCCCTTTCCCCAAGGAAAAAGCGCTCTGCGTTACCTTTGCAGACCGACACCAGCCTTGCATGCTTTCCCTGCCTGGTTGTCCGGCAGATTCTGTGGCATCAAATCCGTGTTCATTTTGCCTGTGGGAGAATGAGAGCTGTCACCACACGTCAAAGGATTTTCTGGTTGGAAACAGAAACCAAGTTTACTGCAAGGGCCACGAAACCATATGAAATTCAAGTATGGAGGGATTTTAGATGGTGCGGAATCAAGATAATAATAAACACACAATGTACAAAATATTTGCAAACTGCTGTTTTTACATTTTATGTTGAGGTGGAGCTTATATAGGATAAATACTCACAAGGAAGTCCTCAACTCAATACATTCTGACATTACACACCTGAGTCATCACCTCCCAGATCAAGATAGAGAACAGGAGATTCCCTTAACCCCCTGCCGGTCAATCCGCGCCGGCCCCGGGTGGGAGGTAACCACTATTCTGATTTCTATAACCATTGATTAGTTTGCCTGGTCTTGAACTTCATGTCCATTGAGTCATTTGTTTGGTTTCTTTCCCTCCATACAATGTCTGCGAAATTCTTTCATGTTGTCGTGGTTTTAAAAACGTTCAGTAGCTTTAAAAATGTTTACCATGGGCTTCCCTGGTGGCGCAGTGGTTAAGAATCTGCCTGCCAATGCAGGGGACACGGGTTCGAGCCCTGGTCCCGGAAGATCCCACGTGCCGCAGAGCAACTAAGCCCTTGCGCCGCAACTACTGAGCCTGCCCTCTAGAGCCTGTGAGCCACAACTACTGAGCCCATGTGCCACAACTACTGAAGCCCACGTGCCTAGAGCCCATGCTCCGCAACAAGAGAGGCCACCGCAATGAGAAGCCCGTGCACCTCAATGAAGAGTTGCCCCCGCTCACCGCAACTAGAGGAAGCCCGCGCACAGTAACGAAGACCCAACGCAGCCAAAAAAAAAAAAAAAAAAAAAAAAAATTATTTTTTATTTTTTTTTTGTAGGAAAT